ATACATACATACATACATACATACATACATACATACATACATACATACATGCACACATACATACATACATGCTTACATACATGCATACATACACGTACATACATATGTACACATACACAACAAATACACATACACATACACGTACACATACACATACATATACACATACACATACATATACATACACATACATATACACATACACATAACGCATACACAAACACACATACACCCACACATACACAACACATACACATAACGCATACACATACACACATACACACATACACACATACACACACACGCATACACATACACACACACACGCACACACATACACATACACACACATACACACACATTTACACACGTACACACATACACATACATACCTCTTAGCAGCTCACTTTTTCATATCCATGTTGTATGTCTCATATACAAAATTTTTCAGGAATTCGAATGTCTTTTTAACTCGCATTTGTTCATATGCTGTGACTAAGCTTGCAAAATCAAGGATTTTTCAGAAAAACAATTTCAGATCTGCGCTAATTGCAAGTCGTTTTACTTTTTGTTAAAGACAAACCTACCTCGAATATTAATCAAACTTCCTTGGCGCCGCCCGCTCCATAAACTCGCGCAGCAATCAGAACACCCATAAATGGCTGGAAGTGAAAGCATACCTTCCTCAAACAAAAGTACTGCATTATCACGAACAACTGCTAAAATCGTTTTACTGATGAACTGAGTGTCAATTGCCATACAAAACTGGTTTTGCATGTGATAGAGATGGTCTCATTTGGATGAACACTTCATTTGATAGTTCTTTTCAGATAATGCAGTAGATGTTAATGTTTGAATTAATGTTTGAACTTACGGATGCCACTCCTAGTAAATAAATAAGTTTTATATGAGATGACTAGGTCAATATTAACGATAGTGGCTAATAAATAAGAAAAAAACGAATGTTTGGAACCTTGAAAAAAATTTATTTCATTGTCGTTGTTCATTAATTGATTCATCTTTTCGCGGATGCTTCTACATAATCATACGGAACAAGTGTATTTCACTTTTACATCATCATGATTGGCGTAGCCTTGCTGCGCAATGAAATTACTAACTTTTGGCATCAAAGATTCACGAAATTTCTCCGGAAAATGAAGCAGTGTGTCAAAACTTGGTAGGAGCAGCTGTAAACAATAACCCAAACTTATCTCACTTCTATCTAGTTAGAACATGACAGAGGAAGTCGTAAAAGCGGAATAAAATCCTCCAGCAGAAGTCTTGTTTAAAAAACCAGTAAAAGCAGATTCTATGCTTAAAGTTTAATGTCAATGAATCTGTATCAAACGCCCTCCTGAGAATCGTTTGGGATCGATGCAGTGCCTCTAAACCTTGCAATCTCGGTCACGATCAGCTGATTGGCTCCTGTTGCCTCCCCAGCATTATCTCCATTCGCCACAACTCGCCGTCATCGTCCGATACGCCACCTCGCTCTTCTACAGCAGCTTCACCGCCCTCCGATCCAATTCTCACTACTCCCTTCAATGGTCGTCAAGAAACCCAAGGCCAACTGATATTACTATCTGTCACAGTCAAGTAAACATTAGCGCTGTGGAAGTGGCTCTCTGTATCCACACTCGAATACAGCAGACATTTATTACAGACAACATAAAAAGCAGTACATGAGTTTCAAACAATAAGAGATCACTGGTATTCGAGTTGG